TTCAGTCTCCAGGGAACCCTTTGCATGTTCGTTTATCTTTATGGAATTCCTGCAAATTCAGCATGGAAGACTATGCCTTGGAGAAGCTGTTAAGGAGTATTCTAGCCTGCACACATAGTTCATGGTCTATTGAGCCTTATTGCTGCCTCAACATTAACTCAGAGCACATTACAGAATATCCAACATTCCCCTGATCATATGAAGTGCAGGGGAAGATGGTCAAAGAAGGGCAAAGTGATTTTTACACAGTTCTACAAATAATGCCTACAAGCTAAAACAATTTGGCACAAGTAATCATATTACCTGCATCACATTACTTTGAGTATAATTAAGAGATAATTAAGAGGTAACAATGGCCATTTAGACAGGAATGCAAGAATTAGCAATATTGTTCCTGGTTTGCATGTAATAAATAACCATTACTTCTTGCTCTTTCTCATTGCTTTGGGGACATAATCAGGGATTATTTTTTCAAACATGAGGCCATTTGAAAGAAAGAAGGTGGAAAGAACTAAAAAGTAATAAAATTAATATTATAAACTAAAACTTTCAAAATAGTGCAACAAGTAATGGCAACAAATTACCATTAAAAACACAGGCTGGAAAACTATTATGGAATTACAAATACTATGCTACACAGTGAATCCCATCCTGATCCCCCCAAGTCTCCACTTACTGGGCAGCAGCTACTGTGATCAATGGGAGCCTATTTCCCTGTTGATCAGGAAACAGCTAACTGATGTTTTCACCCCATCCCATAAGTGATCTGTGGTGTGACAGGAAGAAGCAGGACCTCTGTCACAATTTTCCTTGTTCCAGAGATTGCTCATGTGAGGGGGTGAGCGGGAACATCAGTTAGATGCTTCTTGATCAACAGGGGAGCAGGCCCCCATTGAACACAGCAGATGCTGCCTGCTGAGTGGGACTGGAGGACTTTCACACTCCCTATGTATCTCCTGAACTAGGGGCTATGCAGGGAACATAAATAGGGAACTATCATGAGTGCATAACTCTATGTTACACCCAACAGCATTCCGACCACAATAATTCCTTTTAAAACCTCTGCTTTCAGCCTCGTGATAGCTTTAGGGACGCCATCAATTGGAAAGGTCTGGAAGACAGACAACTACAGCAAACTCTGCTATTATTCATCCATTCATAGAGGACAACTCAAGATGCCCAAAGACATAGCCATATTAGACTGGAAAATCACTGTGCAAAGGGATCTTGTAGCCCCTTTGAGACTAACTGAAAAAAGGCTTTAGTAGACTTGAGTCCACATTCATCTGAGGAAGTAGGCTCAAGTCTATGAAAGCTCATGCTACCATCTTCTTACTTTCAGTCAAGATGGTACAAGATTCCTGTGCATATTGACACACCCAAAAATCAACTGGGACTAATACCTGGTCTAGAGTACATCTAAAATATATAGTCAAACACAACCTAAAAGTGGAGTAATGGATGAAACATCACTTTTCCATTCCTTTGGGCACAACCACTTCATTTTTTTTAGATATCTATACTATCCTGAGTTCCCAAAGGGCCACAGAATAAGCCTGAACAGGAAAATAGCATGGAGGGGTATGTGCAAGGTCACAGGAATTTTTGAACTCACACCAGCCAATTGCAGGTGGGAATAATTGTTGGATAGGCAAGTAAAATGATTTTATTGTTACACCTCATGGAGACAACCATCCTAATCAGCAAGAGAAGCAGCTGCGTCTTGTAAAGTTCAAGATATTTTGCACCAATTCATGATTTTTGTTATGAGGTTAATAATGCTTACAGCAGTCATTGTTAAGACTCTTGGAACAAACAAGTAAAGAGATTCAGCTGGTATATTTAAACAATGGATGTTTGACAGCCTTCTCACTGTAGAAAAAAAAAAGAGGCATTCCATTGATAGTTGCCAGATAAACCTGTTACCAATTTACACTTATCTCTTTCATGGAAGTTGCCAGTGGCTATTATTTGAAGAGGTAGAAGCCATATCATACCAGTCAAAAACTTTAATCCCTTTGCCATGTCCAAAGGTGGATGAATCTCCTGTAGGTTTGAAGGGCTAAATATCAAAGGATTTATTATGATGTGAAGGATGTCAAGGGCTGCATTTGCACTGCAGAAATAATGCAGTTTGACACCGTTTTAACTGCCATGGCTCCATACTATGGAATTCTGGGGTTTGTTGTTTTGCAAGCTATTTTGCCTTCTCTGTCAGGGAGCTCTGGTGCTACAACAAACTACAAATCCTAGGATTCCATAGCAATGAGCCATGGCAATTAAAGTGGTATCAACATGGATTATCTCTGCATGCAGATGCAGCCAATAACTTTATACTCCTGAACCACTAATTTATATTTGTTGGTTTTTATGGATAGGTTCATGATGGCCTTTTCAGAAAGTCAGAAGACAAACAAAACCAAACTTTTATGCTTCAGTGTACTTTTCAAAATTTGATGTAGCTAGTGCATCATTTGACCCTTGTTTCCTTGTTTTTGTAGTTTTCATAATGTATGTTTGCTCTTTCAGATATTGAATTCATTGTGCCATTTCCTCCCCATTGTAGTATGTTTTGGAGACATCTTGACCCAACACTGCTTCATTTTGCATAATTTTGTATTAGGGCTGCATGAATATATCAAACTTAATTTTCATTAATACATTTTAGAATGTCTCTATACTAGGGAGTTTATCACACGGGGAAAATCCCGTGCAGAAACAGGATTTAAAAGGTGGGGGAAACCTGCAAAAGCAGGCACATTTTCACACACATTGCCATTAAAATGGGGTTAACCCAAATGGAAAGTAGTCAAAAACTGTTTTCTTTTTACTTTCGGGATCAGCTGAGCTCATTCCATCCTGATTCCGTATTGGATATTGTGTGGCTTTTAAGCCACACAAAAAATCGTCATCACTTCCATCCATACTTTCTCCCCCCCCCCCCCCGAAGGATCCAATTATTGTATGTACTTTTCAAAATGTACACATTTTTATATGCACTTTTCCAAATATTCATTTTTAAAACATTTCTTCAAAATGTGAAGTCATAGGCTTTCATGGCTGGCATCCATAGGTTTTTTGTGGGTTTTTTCGGGCTGTGTGGCCATGTTCTAGAAGAGTTTCTTTCTGACGTTTCGCCAGCATCTATGGCTAGCATCTTCAGAGAAAAAACATTTCTTCAAAATGTTTTCCCCATTGAGGAAAGTGTTTTTTGCACACATTTTTCCAAATATATGCATTTTTGAACAGCTTTTTCCAATGTATATGTTGTGTGCACATTTTCAAATGTACATCAACATTCACGTTTATGTGAACTGTATCATGAAGATCAGGACAGTATGGATTTTAATGTCTGACTGCATTCTAATTTATGCTCAAGTTTGGGTGATGTGAATTTGTTAAGTTTGTATTCAAATGTGAGCAAAGGCTTTCTCATTCATTTTCATTTTTTTAACTTGTGTTTTATCACATAAGGCAAACTGTTGTATTATACAAACCCATCTAACCTTGGAAGCTAAGCAACATCAGTTCTGGTTAGTTTTTGGGTTGGGGACACCAATGAATACCAGGTACTGTACACTATATTTTAGAGGAAGGAACTGGCAAAATCACTTCTCAGTATTTCTTACCTAAGAAAACCCTATATGAAATTCATGAGATCACCATAAGTTGACAGGTGACTTGAAGACACATACACACCCACATACAGGCTGCTACATTTATCAGTTTAAAATAGGAGGTCCCCAGATCTCTGTAATATCCAAAATGTCATGCACACAAAGATAATCTCTTGTACAAGGTTCTGAGAGTATACTATTCCCCAGGTAGATTTTATGATAATCCCAATCACTTTATATAATTAACACCTCTTATCACTAAATATGGGATTGAATAATGATAGCTCTGAATAATTCTTATCTACACAGAGTCATATTAACACAGAGAGAACAGGTGTAGAACTTGGCTGTCTGTAGAACTTGTCTTATTAATGGTCTTTGGTGCAAGTTTTCTGGCATTTTATAATGTGTATTTATCTATGCTGTTTTCATCATACAAAATCAAAACTTGATTGACATGTATGTATGGAGAGACAGAGGAGATTAGCTCAATGACCTGTATTCCCACGCTAGGTGCAAGATGTAAATACATAGGGACGGATTTTATCGCACAGCTCATCCCATACCCAACCCAGGTTTCTCCTGGATCTTTTAAAGAACAGGATTTTCCCATTCTTTAAAAGGTCTGGGAGAAGCCCAGGTTGGGTATGGGATGAGTACTGCCCGGGGATGCATCTGTGCAATAGAATCCATCCCCGTGCATTTACTTCCCATGCCTAGAATCTCCAAAGATTCTTCAATATCTGTTTGATAGAGGTAAATTGTGAAAACCAGAAAGTTCACCTTCTCAACATTTCTAGACTAGATATTTGAAAAGTATGGTGGGAAGAAGGAAAATATTGTCACAAAGATTACTGACTCTTGATATTTCTGAATAACAATTTTGGAACTTATTGGGAATTCACATACATGTTGTGTCAGCAATTTAAAGAAGACAATGTTTGCACCTGATTTTTTGGAAGATTGTTTCCCTCTCCTTTCTGCATGCCAAAAATGGAGATATGAATCTGTACATTATTCAACAGCAAATAAATAAGTTTATTAAGATAAATTTTGTTGATGTGTAAGATTGGTAGGTTGGCAGTTCAAGACGCAAGTGTTATGGGATGGAGTGAGCTCCCATCACTAGTCCTGGCTTCTGCCAACCTAGCAGTTCAAAAGCATATAAAAGTGCAAGTAAATAAATAGGTACCACTTTGGTGGGAAGGTAACAGCATTCTGTGCAGTCATGCTGGCCACATGATCACAGAGTCGTCTTTGACAATGCTGGCTCCCTTGGCTTAGTAACAGAGATGAGCACTGTCCCCTACAGTCAGACACAACTTGACAACCTTGCCAAAGGGGAAACTTTTACCTTTTTAAATAGATATCTGGAGAAACAAATGTGGTGTAATGGTATTAGTGCTAGACTTTTACTCTGGAGACCAGGGTTCAAATCCCTGTTCAGCCATGGAAACCCACTGGGTGAACTTGTTTCAGCCTCAGAAGAAGGGAAAGCAAATGTCCTCTGAACAAATCTTGACAGTAAAACCGCATGATAGGTCCACCTTATGGTCACCATAAATTTCAAAATGACATGAAGGTACACACACACACACACACACACACACACACACAAATAAATATCTGGGGAAATCTGATTTATAGATACCAGGTACATATATATGTCTAGATATGAATATAAATTCTTAAGCAAATCACTGGAAGATATTGAGAAGATTATCATGCTAAGGCAGTAGAGCTTTGTGAGCAAATTAAAGTTTGATTGTATTTATAATTCACAAATCAGTTAATCTGGAGAATGTAAATTTGTAATATATTGTAATCAATGGTAGGACCTCCACTTCCCTGAACTGATCAAGACTGGATTGGATTTTTGGCCAATTTGTGTTTTTATATGCTGTAGATGCTGACATGAGTTGGACTTAAATCCAGTTACTCCATCTCTTCATTATCTTGTGAATCACACTGGTTTTCATTGAAAATTGACCTGTTTTTATGGATTATTTTAAATTACAGTGCAGCAAATTGTGTTTTAGACTCTTCAACCATGGAAGTGTGTTTGTCTACACCAGCTTATAAAGTTGGATGCTAATTTTAACAGAAGCCAGTAAACAACAGAGCATTTAGAGGGGGGAAAGCTGGCAGAGAGAAAAACAAAGGGAGTAGGCTGTGAAGGAGGAGTCAGAGAGCTTACTGGATGGATGAAGAGGAGTGGAAAAGGCATGAAATTTGGATTGGCTAACAAAGGGCTGTATATACACATTACACACTTAAGTTTCTTTTTAAAGGGAAACAAAAATATGCAAGTATGAAAGTTAAATTTGTTAGAGTTCAGTTTTTATCAGCAGAACAGCAAAAGTATAGGGCATCCATCCTAACAATCCCCTCCAAATTGTACAATGTGTGCACATCACTTAACTTGTTTCACTTGGAGTGTTTGTGTGTGAACCTCCCTGTTTCATTTTGTGCCATATCTTACCAGCCTGACATCTGCCAATGTCCTCCTGCTGGCACCCAGTGCTCTGGTACCCTGTCTGTGCCACTGTAAACCTGACCTGTGCACCCCAGACCCAGAACCTTGTTCTGCTATCCCTAGCAGCACCTTCCTTGATATGTACACACCTCTTCTGTAAACCTGTCCACCAGTCCAGGCACTTCACTTCTAGTGCTTCTGCACTCTGGCCTAGATGTTCTGCCAGTCTGCACATGCCCTTGGGCTGAACCTAGCATCTGCCTCACATTCTGGTAACAGACTCCAATGTACTTAGTCCTGTTCCTAAGGTTCTCTGCCTCTGGCATGGCTATGCAGGCCTGAGAATCTTCATGCACCACAGTTGGACCTGTGCACTCCTCACCAAGATCCAACAGAAGCTGCCTCACCCACTGCACTTCCCCTGTCATTTCTGACAAAGCAGCAAACTCCGCCTCCAAAGTGCTGAGGGCTGCGCAACTCTTCTTTCTCTTCCTCCAGACTATAAGACTGTCAGCATACCCGATGAGCAATCCTGTGACTGACTTCCTGTCGTGCAGCTCTGAAGCAAAGGAGCTGTCAACAAAGCAATCTAGCTAAGCTTCAGATCCCTGTAACACTGGCTTCCTCTCCTTGCTGCCCTTCAGGTTCCTCAAAAGCCTCTTGACAGCTGTCCAGTCCTCAACCTTAGGACTGCTGACCCTTCTGCTCAGCACTCCCACAGCAAATGCGATGTCTGGCCTGGTGTTGTTGGCAATGAACATTAGACTGCCTATGACTGATCTATACAGATCTGGATGCTCAAACACCTTGTCAGACTCAGAACTGCTGGTAAACCCTGGAGTTATGGGGCTCTTTACCACTTTGGCATTCTCTAAGCCACACTTTTCCAGCAACCTCTCTATCTTCTTCATCTGACTCAGCATCACTTTGCCATCCACAGTCCTCTCAACTTCAATACCTAAGTTTGCTTTGAGGTTCCCTAGGTCTTTTAGGAAAATTTCTTGGCCAACTCTGCCTGCACCGCCTTCACCTCCTGTTCCATCTGAGCAGCCACACAAAGGTCATCTACATAGATCACTAAAGTGACCCCTCCTTTCCTGTGCACACAGGCATCTGCGACATTGTATTTGTATCCCAGCCGCACCAGCTCCTCGTGGATACACAAATTCCAACAGCGTGCACTTTGCTTAAGCCCATAAAGAGCTTTCTTTGTAGACTTTGCCCTCCTTGGCATCGTCAAAGCCTGGTGCCTGTTCCATAAAGACCTCCTCCTCTAGCTTGGCATTCAGGTGGGCCATTTCAAAATCAAAATAACTCACTACCTGACCCTTCCTGGCAGGCTATGCTACCACCAACCTTAGGCTCTCTGGCTTCGCTGTAGGTGACAAGGTTTTATTGAAGCTCTCAAAATGCTGTTGAGAGAAACCCCTTGCTACCAGTCTCACTTGGTATTTGTGGATCCCATCAGGCATCTCCTTTTTCTTGAAGACCCACTTACAGCCTACAACCTTCCAGTCATCTGGTCTGCTCACCACCTCAAATACCTCTCTTTTCACCATTGAATAAAACTTACTCTCCATAGCCTTCAATCACCTCTCCTGTTCTTCCCTGGGAAAAGTGAGAAGCTCCTGGTAGCTTTCTGGCTCTTCTATTGCTATGGCACACACCCTAGCATTTTGCACCACAAAGAGCTCAGGTGGCCTCCTGACTCTCTGAGTCCTCCTAGGTATAATTACCTTGGTCCTGCCCTTCTCATCCTCACTATCACTACTCATCTGTACCCCCATCTCTGTGGATGAAGTGGTCTCAAACTTTTGTGTGGTGATGAGTGAGGTCTGTGTACCAGTTGGCTCCCTGGAGTTGCTGGATTGGCTTTCTGGTGTGGCATGTAGTGTTTCCACCCCTCCAGTCCCAGTACTGCCTCCCTGTTGTCCCAGTCTCACAAAAACTTCATGGTTTGAGTGAATTTTTTCCCACCCAGAGTGTATTTAAAAAATTGCACTCTAGGACAACAGAATGCGCCCATTGTCAAGGTAAAACCTATAGCTGTTCCCCTCATACTAGCAGGTTTAGCCCCTTCTGGATACAAGATCTCTTGAAGACGAAATAGCTCCATGTGCTTTGGTTGCTGGTGGGAGCCTTCTTTCCATTGCAAATAAATCTGCATAAACATCTTGATTTGGCTGAGATTTAGGTTGTGGCATTTCATCAATATAAACAGCACTTGTTAATTTTATTGTGCATCCATCTGGATTTAGAATTTTGTAACTATTTCTAGCATAACCAACAAAAGTTCCCTCTTCACTTCTGCAGTCAAGTTTACCTCTTTTCTGTTTGGGAATATAGGTAAATGCTTTGCTTCCAAAAACCTTCAGATGGTTTAATTTTGGCTTAACTCCATGCCATAATTGGAATGGGATTACATTTTTGGATTTTGTTGGCAATCAGTTACACAGGTATGTAGCAATCATGATGACTTCAGACCAATAGCGTTTAGGCATATTAGCTTCCAAAAGCATAGTGACTGCCATCTCTTTGCCACACCATTTTGTTCCAGAGACTAAGCCTGTGTAGTCTGATGCTCAATGCAATGTTCTTTTAAAAATTCATCAAATTCAGCATTGACAAATTCAGTGCTCTCATCTGTATGCAGGCTCTTTGGTTTCTAGCCAAATTTGTTAGAGACTCTATTAAAGTACTCTTTGAATTTTTGAAAAGCTTGACTCTTCTCTCTGAGAAGATAAGCATATGTGTATCTGCTGAAATCATCAATAATTGTCATAAAATAAGAGTTACCCCCTGCTGACTTTTGCTTCATTGATCCAGAAAGTTCAGCATGTAAAAGACTGAATGCCTTGTTGGATTATCTCTCAGTAACTGGAGGGTGTCAAGTTCTTGTGACTTTTGCTTTCAAGCATTCTACACATTTTTCATAGTTAGAGAATGCTTTGATTTTAAAGTCTCTTGCAAGTTCTTGATTTGCCAGTCTCTTAATATTTTCAATACTTTGCTAAGCAAATCTGCAATGCCATAAAGTTGAACAATCTTTGTGATTACATCTGGTCACACTGGTCACAGATGAGTGTAAAATCTGCATCTGATAACATCCATGACATCTTAAGTCTGCTCTAAAAATCAAATTTTTATCATGAAAACCAAAAGGTTTGCTTTCTGAAACTGACATGGTTGCCTCTTGATGTTGTGGTTTGCATACTGTAAAAGGAGCCCCACAAATCCAGTACATAGTAAGCATCTGGGATTTTTAAGGTTCCTATTCTGTCAGGACCAAGTTTTGTTTGCAAAATAACAGTCCCTTTTTCATGTGCAAAAACTTCTTGACCATCAGCAAGATAGACAGGAAAAGTTACATTTGCATCAAAATCAACAAACCATTCTTTGCTGTTGAAGTAATGCGCACTTGCTTCACTGTCAATGAAAAGTTAGTTTTTATATTTATCTCCAGCAGTTTGAAATAATTGTCCATGAATCAAGCCAATATCAACATGACTGGAAGATTTCTGTTTAGGATTAAAAGCTTCTTTCCTAAAGTTGCTTTTGCTTTTAGTATTCAAACCCTGACTTTGCAGCTTTTGCAGTTCATCTCTAGGCTTTGACTTGTTAACATTGCTTCTATTTGATATGGGAGAAAAGGAAGTCTTTTTCAAATCCTTTGCAACAAGTTCTCTGTCTGTTGTCTTTGTATTATAGTTGTTTTCCATCAAGTTTTGTCTATTTTGAAATTCCCCAATTTGATCAATAGTATCTTAAAAAAGAAACATCTCCTTTAACTTGTAAAGAATTGGAGAGTAATATTTTGGAATACTTGCCAAACACAGACCAAGTTTTGCATGTTCTGGAAAGGATTCTCCAGCTGCTGTAATTCTAGACAAAGTTGTCACAAATTCATTAATATGCTGATTTAAAAATTGAGGATGATGCAAGTTGGTGTTGATAAGTTTGATCATGAGAGC